CTGCACCATAGATGCAAATGAAAACTTTATATTATGTACAGAGGACCACTCCAAAAACAATGCCTACTAGCCACATCAAAGACCACTAAAAACACACTATTCGAAAATTTTGCTAGCCAAGCTTTCTTTTGCAGTTTCAAAACTCGGTGGTGAAGTCTAATGGTGATGTTGAAGTTTTCATTTTCTCGGGAATTGTGATATTTCTGAAACTTGTGAAAGAATGCAACTTCTCCGAAAGTGGGCATGCGTAGGTTTGAGAGCTACGGGAGGGGTACCCAAAAAGCAAAAATTATTTTCTGTAAGCATGTGGGTTGACAGTGCTCCTTTAGTGACTAGCCCCACACGAAGTACACTTCTGAAAGCTGGTCGTGACTAGCTCAAGTCGAAGTGCATTTGGAAACACTTGCTGCTTCCGGCCTTTGGAACAGCTAATCACAGGCCGACCCACACAGGACCTTATGTGACGACTGCCGAGCAGAGATGACTACAGCGCCGTCCACTGGCTTGCGGTTGCGCGGTCGTCTGATAGTCAATTTCCTACTGCCTATTCTCCCAGTTATTATGTACAGAATATACTCTGACTAACACTCTGACCTTTCCATGACTTCCCTCTGTTCTCCTAAGGAACTGGGCCTGGAAGATCGCAGCAGTTGGAGTTAACCCTATTAGCCTTAACACCACGTGATACTCCCATCTACCGCTACGTAAGTCTTCTAGACACCCAAGTTGGCCAAGTAGCGTGCAGGAGGAACTATCACAGGGGTTAAGTAAGTTAAACCCTAGCAACTGCGATCTTCAGACCATGGCTCCTTGGGAGAGAAGAAGTCGGTAGAGGCCAGAGTAGTAGGAACAGTTTATCGTGTACACAGACGAACGAAGAATAATAGGGAAGAAATTTGACTACGGAGAGCACGACTTTGCGCTGGAGCGGCATGATCCGAAGTGAAGCTTAGTAGCCGAAATCCCCAGCGGCCCAGAGAGAGAGCGTTGACGCGTGCAGGCCTGCTATTCTTCGCCGGGCTAGAAGGCATCTTTGCGGCAACTGTGATTGGCTGTTCCCAGACGTCGAGACCAACTTCTGTGGGGCTTCGCGAAAGTTCACTTCGGCGCGAACTAGTCACAACAGAACTATCGTAGTGGCTTAAGTTACAGGAAAGACCCTTACCGCTACGATCTTCAGACCCGGTTCCGTCCGCGACGAGAAGTGAGGTCCCAGATGGGAGGAATAGTGTATTCCGTACAAAGGTACTAGAGATAGTGCTCCAATCTGCGGTTAGGTACGTTTACTCTTCATGTTCAGCTGGTCAAGTAGCGTTCTGGAGAAACCATTGCGGCTGCCAGAGTGCTTTAGTAACCCATCTCCAAACGCTCTCGATGATTTTGAGATGAAAAAAAATTATAAGAAGCAACACGTCCGTAATGGTTTGTTTTTTCGACATCAAGGGAGTCTTTCATGTTGCATTTATTTTTCATTGACGTCACTGTGAACCAGCATTACCATGTTTCCAGTCGAATGCACACTGGTGTTACAACTAGTCCCCCGGCCAAATATCACTTAAGTGGTGGTTGAATACTGTCCCCACCCCCCGTTCGGCTCTCTCGCCTTTTAATTGTCTTTTCCCACAATGCTGCCCCCCCCTGCTTCAAGGGACAACTGTTTCAAGAGCTACTTGTTATTGCTTCTCCCTCCCCCTCTGGTTCGATTACAGCTGTCACCACCGCTGACCTCAACCGCTTGCAATTCCTCCCCCCCTTGCCCGCACAGTATTGCCTCTTTTCACGCCCACCCCCTCCCTCTCTTCGCGCTGGTGTTTTCAGACCAATCCTGAGGCCATAGGAATGGCCTCCTGAAATCATATAAAACAAGAGCCACGTCCCCTCTCCCACTAACACACACAAGCTTCCCCAAGACTAGTTCTGCCCTGCGTGGCGTTATTATTGAACTAGTGTTGCTCCCTTGTGTAGAGTCCGCTCTTGACTTGTTTTATCCACTGTTGAGGTTTGTACTTTGATTATCCTTTACTATTTGTTTAATAGTAGCGTACCA